AAAAAAAAAAAAAAAAAGTAAAGAAAAGCTCTCAGGTGTAGACAGGCTCCTTTTTTTGAAGGCAGCAGGAAAAGTGACATTTGGTTTCAGAAAGTTATTTCAACTCATTCTGAACACTGAATAGAGTCAGGTCCACGTGGAAATCTCTACCATGATGAAGCCTGCTGGAGTTTCAGGCTGTTCCTTTGCCCTCAACCTCTCTCTGTCTCTATTTCACTATATATCAAAGGTGACATCAGAGGTTACATGAATTAAACTACACTCCCCCAGTCTAAAGTGGAATAGAATAAGCTACCTTTTTGGAAGAAAAACTATTTGGTGAAAGCAATTATTTTTGTAGGGAGTGGAACTGGAGATTGAACCCAGGATTTTCACCCTGAGCCATGTCTTCAGTTCTTCTATTTTTATTTTGAGACAAGGCTTCATTAAATCAAGTTGCCCAGGGTGGGTTTAAGCTTACCCACAGCTCTAACATTTAGCAGTTTTAAGTTATGAAACAGTCAAATTTATTAAATTGTTCCTTGTGTCTACTGGGGAAGGTAACAAAACCTTCCTTACTCAAGAGCACAACACTTTTTTGTATTTCATTCAAAATACTTTGATAATTTTGTATTTAGGTCTTTCTTGTATCTGAAATGTTTTATGAATAGTATTAAGTAAGGACATATATTTTACTTTTCCAAATAGACAGCTAATTTTCCCAGTGTTATAACTAGTTGGGTTTTTTGCCTGCTTTTTTTGAGACACAGTCTTGCTATGTATTCCAAGCTGGCCTTGAACTCATTTATGTTGCCCAGGCTGGCCTCAAACTCACAGCAACCCTCCTGCTTCAGCCTCCCAGAGTGCTGGATTACAGCCATATGCCACCATGCTTGGGCCTAAATAGCCTATCTTTCCCCAACTAAATTCTCAGTTATATACGAGGTGATGTATCTTTGGATTCTTCATGCTATTTTACCAGTTTATTTTCTATTCCAAAGCCAATATAGACAGTTTTAATTATTTAAAAAAATTTTGTAACATGGTTTGGTAACTAGTAGATTAACGATGCCTTCCCAGTTCTAGTTCAAACCTGCTCTGGCTGTGCATGCATGTGAATTCTGCAGTATGAATTCTAGCAGCTATTTAAGTTCCATTTAAAATCCTGTTGGGAGGGGCTGGGGATTTAGCTCAGCGGCAAAAGCTCCTGCCTGGCAAGCGCAAGGTCCTGAGTTTGGTTCCCGGTACCGGAGAAAGACCAAAAAAAAAATCCTGTTGGGAAACTGATTAGAATGAACATTGGTATAAATTAGTTTGAACAGAACTGATCTCTTTCCTAATATTTAGTCTGCATATCTCACCATCTACTGAGATGTCTTATAAATATTTTAGAGTTTTCACCATAAGGGATTTCCACAGTTCTTGCTAAGGGATAGATGCCTGGGTAATTTATGTTTTGTTCCTTTAGTAAATGGAATCTCATGTTTTTCATTACATTTTCTAGCTGGTTCTTTTTTTTTTTTTTTTTTT